GTCGGCATATCCTGACCAGGAGCACATGTGATTTTTAGATGGCAGAGCGCCATCTAGTGGAACAGAAATCAAATAAACATTGATTTAACCTGTTCCCTGATATTTGGCCAACCCATTTTCTTGATAAATCAAGCCTCTGGTACAGCCTTCTCCACGCTGATGAGCGCCAACAGCGCGAAACGTGTTCGTGAATGGTTTTTCTTGATTTATCAAAAATATGGGTTGACCAAATATCAGGGAACAGGCTAAATCAATGTTTAGTTGATTTCTGCTCCACCAGATGGCGCTCTGCCATCTAAAAAGTACATGTGCTCCTTGTCAGGATATGCCGACATTATATATATAATAAAAAGGCATAAATTGGATTGAATAAAATATTTATTTGCCAATATTTCGGTTGGCTGAACGCCAACCTTTGTCAAGGCATTAATTTATTTTTATATAAACAAATGTAATGCCTTGACAAAGGTTGGCATTCAGCCAACCGAATATTGGCAAATAAATATTTTATTCAATTCAATATATGCCTTCTATCAAAATAGATAATAATCTACTTTAGATAATAGATATTAGAGAATCGATAATAATCTAAATATTTAAATATGGATTGCTCTATATTCAGAACAAATATGTATATGCAAATATGTATATATATGCAAATGTACGTGAATAAGTGTCATCTCGCTAAAATATAATTTGAGGACGCACGTGCCCCGTGAACAGTATTCTAGTAATGTAGACGCACGTTCAGTACGACATGCCCATATGTAGATAATGTTGAAGATAATCCAATTTGCATCTATCAGAGGCATGTTACATATATATTGAGAGGGGTCTCTAGATATAGATCCGTAGGGTTCATTGCTGTGGTTCATTGGTGTTTTCGACCTGTATACAACTGTCACTCTTCGTTACGAATTCGACCATTTTACCTTTTAATAACTCCGCCTTTGCCGGTCCCAAGCCTGGATGAAAAAGGAGGAGGGGGAGCAGTAACAAGCTCACTAAAAAACCTGGGCTCAGCTGGCCCGGCTAATAGTACCCTGTAAGGTCTCCAGGGATACAGGATTAGCAGCGTTTTTACTCCATTTTAGGAGCGGCTGCACATGGCGTCTGTTCCTCATGTTATAGGCGGCCATTTCTTCTGGAGCTAAGTCGGCCTGCCACTGAGTAGTGATCCCAGCCTTAATGACAAAGGCAAACACATTCTACTTCACCCAGTCATGATGGTTGTCAAGCTTTACAAGCCTGATACCTTAATATGATTGAGTGGAGATAAGAAAGAAGACGAAGACCTTTTTATAAACGAGCAAACTAAGTATGTATTCAAGAAGATGAATGCAGAATACAACAAACGTATTGTAATCTTCTTCAATAATCCGTACATATTGAATGTTTTTTCCTCAAAAAGTTTCTTTTAATTCGGTCTATTATGCTTCGTGACACCTACACAGAATTAGTGCGTTGTCTTGTCACACCAATCTGTGTGGAAGATAATACTTTGTCATTTTAAAACAGCTTTCCAAGTTTTTAAAGTCATATATGCGAAGTCGCTTATTAACTTTTTAAGTCAATTTTAGTGATTGTAAGTTAGTGTTTAATGCTAGAACTGATTTTACTGTAACTCTCTAGATCAGTGATTCTCAACCAATGTGCCGCGGTAATTTTGTGTGCCGCGAAATTCTAAAAATGTGCCGCCGAATTTTAGTCATATGATTATGTTCACGTTTGTATTGGTTTTTCTTTTTTTCTTTTTCTTTTTTTTACTTTTTAAAATAACGAAATTAGCAAATTGAATGTTAGAGATGTATATTACTTATATTTTGCATAGAAATATTGATACATAATTTGAATTTTCTTGCATTCAAGTTAGCAAAAGTGTGCCGCGAAATTCTAAAATTGTGCCGCCAAATTTTCAAATCTTTAAAATAATGCCGCAACAAAAAAAAGGTTGAGAATCACTGCTCTAGATAAAACATTTGATATATATTGTCGCGGAGATAAATAAAGCAAGGGAAAATTTGGGAATAATTAATTTATTATAAAGGTGGGTATTTACCTTTTAGTTCTCCAATAAAATTATATACGAGAGATATTTATAGGGACAACAATTTATCCCAAGGTAAAAATAATAATAATGTAGGAATGTAGACGCACGTTCAGTACGACAGCCCATGTGTAGATAGTGTTAAAGACAATCCAATTTGCATCTATCAGGTGATTTTCTTTTAATTGTTAAAAAACAAGCTTTCAGGCAAGAATGCCCTTCTTCAGGTTACAACTTGGAAATATTTAAAAATATTTCCAAGTTGTAACCTGAAGAAGGGCATTCTTGCCTGAAAGCTTGTTTTTTAACAATTAAAAGAAAATCACCACGTTTTTATCGCCTTCATTTCAAATATTATTGCGTGGCTGCGTCATGTCTGATCCTAACTTAGAACAACTTATCCCAAAGTTAAAATAATAATAATGTAGGAATGTAGACGCACGTTCAGTACGACAGCCCATATGTAGATAGTGTTAAAGACAATCCAATTTGCATCTATTAGAGGCATGTTTACATTGAGGAGGGTCTCTAGATATAGATCCGTGGGGTTCATTGCTGTGGTTCATTGGTGTTTTCGACCCGTATACAACTAATCTGTCACTCTTTTCAAAGAATTCGACCATTTTATCTTTTATTTAAACGAGCAAACTAAGCATGTTTATACAATATAATGCGGCCTATGATTGTAGAACGACATTTGAAAATATCCCGCATGTGTTTCTTTTGAACAAAAAAAATCGAAATTTATTTTAAGGAGAAATAACGACCAATGGTCAGCCACCGTCCCGTTTTCCTTATTTGCCGATAAGATTCCGAGAACCCCTCATACCTGTGGTCCCTCCCGGAGTCCAGTGATGATTGACAGGTGTCCCATGTAGATTTCTGTGGCTGTGGTTACAGAGGTACTTCACAATATACTATATAATGTTGTTGGGAGAGAAATTATTTGCTTATTTTGAATACAAGAGTATTTTACCAATATTATGTAGTCGTGAAACCCTTTGAAAAATACAATAAAAAGGTTTTATATCGCTATAGACAGGTTTAACTGTATATTGTTAAAGAGTAGGAGTAAGGTATCTTAATGTGGAAAAAGCATTGCCTTCTTTTAATAAATGATTCAAAAGAAAGAATTCCTTTCAACTTCTCTGAGAGAGATTCATATATATTTTAAAATATTAAGTTAAGAAAATTCGAATAACACCTACTCTGTATACCATATTTTCGGGCTATGGCATTCATCGGTACAGGGTCGGCTTCGATTTCATAACATCCAATGGAAGGAGTTAGTTAAAATATATTGGATTAACCTTAGTATTTTTCATACACAAATTTACCCCACCTCCTTTGTATTTTTTAAATTATTATTTCAACTGTGATATTATAACACTATGCGGCGCTTAGTTTGTTTATATACAAAATGTAATGTCTCGATAAAGGTTGGCGTTCAGCTAACTGAAATATTGGCAAATAAATCTCTAATTAAATCCAATATATACCTTTTTTTATTAACTAAAGTTATGAGAATATGATAATGAGATATTTTTCAGAGATTTTTTTTTTTTTTTTTTGGTTATCCATAGTACACGTGGTACAGGCCATGATAATCATGGTGGGTAGTAGAAGGCGACTACTTTTACTGTAAGTGCATCACATGTCTAAACATGTGAAAGGCAGATCGACTTTGCACTTACAAATATGCCAGAGCCCCGTTTGTTTACTTGCACTTGCTGGTGGGGTTGGACTTTTACAAGAATCGAGGGCCATTGGAGCTTTTTTTATTTTTAATCAGAAACTATTGTTAATAACATAAGCTAAGTTATTATTTTTTGAACGGTACCTAATAAAGTTATTTTGGAAACATTATACAGATTTGGTAACAAGATGACCAATGGGTAGGCACGAAGGACATTCAACACTTCTGGAATAATAATAAATAGTCGGTGGATGAGAGGGTAACACGCTCGATTCCCGACAGTCATGAACCGGGATTGAATCCCGCATTAAAAATTGTTTAATATGTGAATAACCTTCACATATTATTCATTGTTTAAATTATCATGAACTAAGTTGCTCTTGTTGAGCGGTACCTATTAATGTGATTTTGAACCGAACCGAATAATAATTTAAAAAATCAAAGATTAGTTGATATTTATTTCTACAGGTTTCGCAAGCCAACAGTAACTTCTAGTTTTACGATCAGAAGATACCTCTTGTTTTTTTCTTAACATTCAACACTTGTTTTTCCTTATTTCTCTTCATATCATTCCATGTGCCAGAGCCCCGTGATTGTGAATTTTGGTATGTTCGAACCAGATATTATAAGATATAACTACATAGCATACTCACGATGACCATAGCTTAAAACTGTGATATACAGATTGGCCTTTTGATTGTATTTTTTTAAATTATTTTCTAGCTTCTTCACTAATCCGAATCTGTACATGATGAATGTTGTTTCTGAAAATCTTCCTTTAATTCGGTCTCTTTATTCTATGTGACATCCACATTGAATCAGTGAGTTGTATTGTTGCACCAATCTATATGGAAGACAATACTTTGTCATTTTAAAACAGATAGAAATATCACAAGAAAATAAGACAATTTTTTTCTGATGATTCTGATTCACACACTAATAAATTAATTGGATTAGGTTTTATTTTCTTGTATTATAATCTATAATCCAAATTGTGCTTTATCAGATAGAAATATTTTTTAAAATTACAAATACTTTCTCACAATATGTATCTTTTTATTAAAAAAACGCTAGCTTTCAAGTGATAATCGCTCTTCAACGGGCTTACTAAAATATCGATTTTATCCCACCAGAAATATTTACAATTTTATCATGAATAGATAGAAATATATTTATTTACGGGGCTGCTTAACCAAAACGGATGATTTTTGCGCCTCGAGAACGGAAATAAATGCCGAAATACGGGAAAAAGAAGGAAAGCTATAGCACTAGGTGTTCCCAGGTGGTCACCCTCCCAAGTACTGACCAGCCCTGATATTGCTTAACTTCGGTTATCGGACGAGAACCGGTGTTTCAATGTGGTATGACCGTAGGTGTTTAAAACAGCTATCGAGTCTTTAAAATCTTATAGACGAAGTCGTTACATCACTGATTGACTCTTGAAACCCAATGCGATACTGACTTTGATGGAAAATCTATCTAAGGGACAATAAACATATTTTTATATTATTCAGAAATATGTATAGACAACTTGCGCTTGTCAATTGTATAGTAAAGGTTATCCTTTGTGGAAAAATATCGTCGTTAATGTTAATTGCAGGTTCCTTTTACAAGGTTGTCCCAAAAGTTCGTAAACACTTGCAAAAAATTGAAATGGCAATATTATAGGCCGTTATATATAATGTCTTTGTATTATGTATAAAGTAATTGTATTATTATGTATTAGCCGCAATAATATTATTCGCCAAGTAATAAGAGAAACAATGTTTTGAGAAAAAATTATAGATTTTTGTATGTGCTTAGTCTTCAGTATGCTCTTTGCTTGAGACTGGGAACTGTCAACGAATGAGATGTAGGCGTGATTGAATGAGATGTGCGTGTAAAGGAGTTGCTTGGTAGTGAACCATGGTATTCTGAGGTTGTCTTCTAAGTAGCTGAGTAGCTTTCAACGCTGTTGCATCTTGAGGTGTGATGACAGGCGATCGCTGAGTGTCTCATCGAGCTGTAGCATGGATGCACCGCCATCTCTGGGCGACCGCACGCTGCGGGTGGCACTGCCAGAGAACCAGGTGAGAACATCACTCTCAGTGACATTCGCTGACCCTGACGGTGGTGTCCCTCAGCAAGCCTCGGTGGTCGTACACGACAGCATGACGGTCGAAGAACTCCTGTGGAGCGCCTGTGCCAAGCGCCAGCTCTCTCCTAACGACCACTTCCTCCGCATTCGACGGAAGAAAGACATCGAGGAGTACTACGTGCCTCCAAGGAACGAGCTGGTAGAGAACCTGGTATGTTCAACTAATTTTGAATAGATTAAGAAATACCTCCAAGAAAGGAACTAAGGAAGAACCTGGTATGTTCAACTGATGTTTAATAGATTAAGAACTACCTCTAAGGAACGAGCTGGTAGAGAACCTGGTATGTTCAACTAATATTGAATAGATTAAGAACTACCTCCAAGGAACAAGCTAGTGAAGAACCTGGTATGTTCAACTAATGTTGAATAGATTAATAACTACCTCCAAGGAACAAGCTAGTGAAGAACCTGGTATGTTGAACTAATGTTGAATAGATTAAGAACTACCTCCAAGGAACAAGCTAGTGAAGAACCTGGTATGTTCAACTAATGTTGAATAGATTAAGAACTACCTCCAAGGTAGGAACTAGTGAAGAACCTGGTATGTTTTTTTCAGTCGCTAGTTCTTCAAACAGACAAATTTACAAGAAAGCTACTACCTTTAAAGACACTTATACATTTGTTCTAGACTTTACTAAGTATATAACTTTTTCAAGGAAATAATTTCCTAATTAAATAGATAGAAATGGTTATATATGGAGTATTCAAACAATGCTTTAATGTCTTGTTTCACATTTCATTAATAATATGTATTTACATATATATTCTTGTTAAGACATTCATGCTTCTGAGATAATTAAGAACATAATATAGCCACGTGGAAAATTAGGGAAGACAAAAACTTCAGGAGGAGGCAAAAATTTATTTCAGGGAAGGACAAACTATGAATTGTAAACAAAAGATAAGCCACGAGGGAAATTTACAGAATAGCAAAATATAAACATAAAAATGACCACTCTGTTAATAAAAATAATAAATAAAATGTTACATAGCTTCTTCCCAATGAGAGCTGTGACCCACAGCTAGCAATTATTGTAGATACTGACATGGATCTGATGTGCTTCTGCCAAGGATTCCATCGAAGGCTTGGAACTTTGTCCCTAGTACTTTGTGTCCATTTTCTTGCCGCGTGAAGAGCGGCTTTGTCGTCGTATCGTCTATAGGGACATCGTCATCTTCGAGGGAAGTCTTGGCTTTAGCACGGCGGTGGAATCCTCGAGTCACTCTCAGAAAATGTAGATCACAGCACCCATGGCTTCAAGGTCTTCTCGGCGGTCTTCAGTTTGTCTTCCCTGACTTACCCAGGATCTCCACCAAAATGCCACGTGGAAAATTAGGGAAGACAAAAACTTCAGGAGGAGACAACAATTTATTTCAGGGAAGGACAAAACTATGAACGGTAAACAAAAGATAAGCCACGAGGGAAATTTACAGAGTAGCAAAATATAAGCATAAAAATGACCACTCTGTTAATAAAAATAATAAAATTAATAAATACTATGTTACAATATACTCAGAGACATTTTGTATTGTCTAAACCCGTTTAAAGAAATCTTTCTGAACTAGTCCCTTACAACAGCACAACTTCGATAGGGTATTCTTTGTAGCAATATTTCAATTCTTAGGGAATTAACCACGTGTAAAACCAGAGTTATGTCTGCCCCTTTTTATTTTTATTTGACATATCGAACTCGATATCCCAGCTTGGGATACTTGCACCTAAATACATTTTAGCAGCTTATATATAATTCTTTTTATATACAATTCAATAAACAAGACTGAAAACAAAATTAAAACTGAAAGGTTGGTTTTCTCAAACAGAAAAGAAAATCTAAAATGAATTTACAAAATTTATTGAATTTTATATATGTGTCTTTTATCAAAATTAGAAACTATTATAGACGCGTATGATTCTTTTTAAAAATAAACAATTTCAACTTTTTTATTTCTAATTTTTACATTGCAGTAAGAACAGTATAAATTTTTATATTTTTAAAAAGAGAGAGAGAGATTCATACACGTCTATAATAGTTTCGAATTTTGATAACAGATGGCGCGCTAATGCATCATAATAGGTGTCTTTGTTATAGACAAATTCGCACATTTCTTCGATGGGATAAAAATGTTTATTTCTGTAGCTGTGAAAGAATGGACATTCTATCAATAAATGTATTGAGGTTTGGTTTTCTTTTTCACAGAAGCAGCTAGGATTATCTGTTGTCCCGATTTTGTTCTCTGTGTCTAATTAATTATTTTATTTGAACATTTTGTAATTGATTGACTTCAAAGATAGATAGATGGAAATTTTGCCGGGAGGGATATTGATCTAAAGAGACAAGGGTCGCCTCTTCCGTCAAAATAGACGTCTAAAACTAGACGCCATCTATTGACCGTCGTCGCAAACTAGCGGCGAAACCATGGTCTCTAGGTGGACGCTTTTCAGTTTGCTAAAGCTGGTGTTGTGGCTTTGTCACCGACCTGAGGCCGCTAGTTTGAGGCGACGGTCAATATATGGTGTCTGGTTTTAAACGTCTATTTTGACGGGAGAAGCGACCCTTGTCTCTTTAGTTCAAAGAAAGACTTTGGTTTTCTCTGTCTACAAACCATTGAATTCTTACATAGTACTTTCGTTATAGAATTTGTGGGGTGTTGGAATGGCAGCAAATGTACGACGACACCATCGAGATCTGCTCCAAGGTTCTCTATCAGGTGGAGCTGTCGCGTTCCTCGCTCGACCAACTCTTCGGCTTCTCTGTGGAGGCTGAGCTGGTAGAGAACGCCGAGCGCGAAGATGAGCTGTGTGTCTACGTCTCCAGGGTGGAGGAGAACAGCCAGGCTTTCCAGCAAGGTGGGTGAAATCTACTATTGTAGACCATGTAGAGGATCATAGGAACGTCTTCCAGCAAGGTGGGTCATAGGCAAGTGTTCCAGCAAGGTGGGTGACATATACTATTGTAGGTCATGTAGAGGATCATAGGCAAGTGTTCCAGCAAGGTGGGTGACATCTACTATTGTAGGTCATGTAGAGGATCATAGGAACGTGTTCCAGCAAGGTGGGTGACATCTACTATTGTAGGTCATGTAGAGGATCATAGGCAAGTGTTCCAGCAAGGTGGGTGACATCTACTATTGTAGGTCATGTAGAGGATCATAGGAACGTGTTCCAGCAAGGTGGGTGACATCTACTATTGTAGGTCATGTAGAGGATCATAGGAACGTGTTCCAGCAAGGTGGGTGACATCTACTATTGTAGGTCATGTAGAGGATCATAGGCAAGTGTTCCAGCAAGGTGGGTGACATATACTATTGTAGGTCATGTAGAGGATCATAGGCAAGTGTTCCAGCAAGGTGGGTGACATCTACTATTGTAGGTCATGTAGAGGATCATAGGCAAGTGTTCCAGCAAGGTGGGTGACATCTACTATTGTAGGTCATGTAGAGGATCATAGGCAAGTGTTCCAGCAAGGTGGGTGACATATACTATTGTAGGTCATGTAGAGGATCATAGGCGAGTGTTCCAGCAAGGTGGGTGACATCTACTATTGTAGGTCATGTAGAGGATCATAGGAACGTGTTCCAGCAAGGTGGGTGACATCTACTATTGTAGGTCATGTAGAGGATCATAGGCAAGTGTTCCAGCAAGGTGGGTGACATCTACTATTGTAGGTCATGTAGAGGATCATAGGCAAGTGTTCCAGCAAGGTGGGTGACATCTACTATTGTAGGTCATGTAGAGGATCATAGGAACGTGTTCCAGCAAGGTGGGTGACATCTACTATTGTAGGTCATGTAGAGGATCATAGGCAAGTGTTCCAGCAAGGTGGGTGACATCTACTATTGTAGGTCATGTAGAGGATCATAGGCAAGTGTTCCAGCAAGGTGGGTGACATCTACTATTGTAGGTCATGTAGAGGATCATAGGCGAGTGTTCCAGCAAGTAGGTGACATCTACTATTGTAGGTCATGTAGAGGATCATAGGCAAGTGTTCCAGCAAGGTGGGTGACATCTACTATTGTAGGTCATGTAGAGGATCATAGGCGAGTGTTCCAGCAAGTAGGTGACATCTACTATTGTTGGTCATGTAGAGGATCATAGGAACGTGTTCCAGCAAGGTGGGTGACATATACTATTGTGGGTCATGTAGAGGATCATAGGAACGTGTTCCAGCAAGGTGGGTGACATCTACTATTGTAGGTCATGTAGAGGATCATAGGCAAGTGTTCCAGCAAGGTG